TTCTTCCGCCAATTTTCGGGTTATCGTCGTGGCATCCATCTTGCTATGATGGATTGGCGAAACGACGCAGTGAATTGGCAGTATTACGCAATACTTTCCAACCTCCAGTCAACAAACAATCAGTGCAAAACTTAAATGTGAAAATGGATGTGATAATTCCTGATAGCGATGATGAATCTCAGACGCCAGATGTGTTCAGTCATCAGGACAGTCATTCATTGAATGTTGAACCTGGGTCGCCGATACAAGTGCAATCAAGAGATGGAGATGAAATGTCTGTGAGTGATGAGGATTACATCCCGGCCGATGTGATGCAGGATGCTAAAGACGCAGAAGTTCGTTTGATACCAGGAGTGTCCAAGCGTCTTTACGACAAAGTCTACATTGCCTTCAAGGATTGGATGCAGCAGAAAAAAATAAAGAAAATTACTGATTTTGTGCTATTGGGGTATTTTCACTGCGTGGCAAGAAAGGCCAAACCCACAACTCTCTGGTCTCGTTTTTCGATGCTGAAAAAAACACTCTCAACTTATGAGGCGATTGACATCAGTCAATTCCCCAAAGTACGGAATTTTCTGGCTGTGAATTCCAAAGGCTACGAGCCAAAGAAGTCTCAGGTGTTGAATGATGAAAATATCGACACTTTCATACGTGAAGCTCCTGACGTAATTTATTTGGCAATTAAGGTAATGAATCAAATATTTCTGAATATTTCTGATCAAATATATTACAAATTATTGAATGGGGTGAAACTGAAGCTAATTGTTTTCTAATAGGTTGCCTTGATTATTGGGTTTTCTGGATTGTGTAGGACAGCAGAATTATACCAAATGAAGGTGGAAAATGTCGTAGATCGGTCCACATTCTATACCTTCACTCTTCCTCGAGAGATCGTGAAGACTAATAAATCTCGAGTTTTTGTTGTGGATGAGGAATACTATCCACTCTTGAAAAGATACATTTCTCTTCGACCCAAAGATTTTGAGAAGAATAACTTCTTCGTCAAATATCAGAATGGAAGATGTGTTCGTCAGGTCATGGGCCAGCACAAAATGAGTGGTATTCCAAGGGAGGTCGCTGAGTATCTGAATCTTCCTAATGCTAGTCGTTATACTGGACATTGCTATAGACGTTCGGGGGCAACAGTCCTGGTTGATTCAGGCGCTGATACATTAACATTAAAGAGAGCGGGTGGCTGGAAGTCTGGTACAATCGCTGAAGGATATGCGGAGGAGTCTGAGGGTCAAAAGAAGAAAGTTGCTGCCCAAATAAAGAACGCCATCAAGAAACCAGCAACAACTCCAAGAGAAGCCAACAAATCACCATCATCTCTCTGTAATCGTATTCCCCAACCTGTGATCAACGACATCTCACCAATTCCACTTCATGATGTCTCACCAGATCCTGCTCCAAATCTACAGTTGAATCAACTTCTACGTTCCCATCCAAATATCAATCTCAATTTTTACAATTGCTCAAATTTTAAAGTATTTGATAAAGAAAATAAGGAAAATAAGTGAATCTCGAGATCTTAGTTGAGATAGATGGGCATAACTGATTGTTTTGTTAGATTTTATTATTTAAACTATGAGTATTATTCTTGCGTTTACGTTGTAGTTTATTTCAGAGTTTCAATAAAAAATTTTCTATGAAATGATATTTCTAATATTATTATTATCAAAATTAAGATTTTTTAATAATTTATTTTTCATTTTAATTTTCAGGTGTATTTTCAAATTTAAAATTTAACAATTTTGAAGATAATGAAGGGGATTCACTGGCTGAATTTATCAGTTTTTATATGTAGTTTTATATTTTGGTACATTAACGCTGGGGTGGCGCCACACGTTTTTCAGTCCTAAGTAGTTCAATTCTCACTTTTTCACTCCTAAGTAGTGCATTTCTCACTTTTATACTGCTCAACGGTAAAAAGACCTACTTCTCATGCT